GCCGTCCCATCAACCCGCACCATTATTTTCATTCAAACAACTATTCTCTTATTGGTTGACTTGTTTGTTATAGATAATAAAATAAATACTAGAAGGACAAAGATTAAATAGGCCCAATTCCTGACTTCAATTATGTTAATAGTCAGTGAGGGTAGCAATAAAAACCAAGAATAATATACAGGAAGCAATTAGGTCATATTTGGATTTTTTTTTTTTTTTTGAAATGAGAGTCTTATATTGTCAAGGCTAGTCTTAAACTGTTGGGCTCAAATGACAACTCCTTCCTCAGCCTCCTGACAGCTGGTATTACAGGTGTGCACTACCACACCTGACTTGCATGTGTGGATTTTTAACAAAGGTATATACACCTCATCTCATGTTTTCAACTTGGCTTATGGTGTGGTTTTACAATAAATGGAAGGCCATTCTCACCTACTGATGGGCTTGATACAGGTTTCAGAATCTCCACGTCAGCAATGTATTATAGCTGGTGAGCCAGAACAATAGAAAGTGTGAGAGCCATGAGGAATGGGAGGCAATATTTGAAAGTGTCTCGATTAGCAGATGTGTGTAAAGAGAGGGATCTACTGGAATAGCAAGATGTACCAAGTGGACACTTAAGGTTCATGTCCACCGTGAGGTGGTAGAGTATTTGAAGATAGACTGTGATAGAGATGTGATTTCTTGAGCCACAAAGCCCCTGAGGGAGATCAAAGTATTCCACCCCAAGTGAAACATGGCCCTAAGAATTAGCTTCCCTGTAGAAAATACCATGCTGGGAGTAGAAATGGCCCACCTCCAGAGCTCAGGCATCAGGAGAGAGGCTCATGTACTAGTTCCAGTAACTCAAGTATATTTCTTTGGCAAATTTTGAGGTTATTGTTATTATTTTTTTTGGTGGTACTGGGGTTTGAAGTCAGGGCCTCACACTTCCTAGGCAGGCATTTTACCACTTGAGCCATTCTGCCAGTGGCAGATAGGGTCTGTTTGCCCAGGCTGCCTTTAACTGAGATCCTCCTGATCTCTGACTCCTCAGTAGCTAGGATTATAGACATGAGCCATGGGTGCCTGGCTGTGTTAGCTTGTTAAGAGAAACTGAAGACTATAGACACAGGAATGGTTGTAGAAAACTGTTCCCTTTTTTTGTTAAAAGATATTTACATCCAATTACATGAGTAAAATAAATAGTGAACACAGCATATACTTTTTCTTGATGTATATTAATTGTAAAAAATAATGGGTTTCATTGTGACATTTTCATACATGCATATAATGTACTTTTGTTATGGGAGTTTTAGGGCAAAAACTCGGGTTTTGGGAGTTCCAACAGATTAGGTTCAGCAACCTGTCCCAATATGCCAAGTAAAGAGACAAGTAGTGGTTAAGGGCTGAGAAAGGAGATTTAATAAATGTGGTCACATAGGGAAGAACTGATAAAAGGGTTCTGTGATCCCAGGTCTGTCTTCTGGGTTACTGACATGAGCGTTAGGTTTAAACAGCTGAAGAACTGGGGCAGGGGTTAAGCGGTATGCATAATTAAATAGTCTTGATTCAAGTGTGGTCTGGTTGATCATTACCTCAGTTCTGGTCCTGCAAGATGGGCCACAGAAATCCTATTGCTTGGGAATCTAATCAGGTTCCTGTAAGATGATTGTTTCTACTTGGGAATGGTCTTATCATGGGATGATCTGTCTCTGAGTCTCTGCTGTTCCTGGAATCCATAGTTACTGCAGGTTTAGGACAATGATTAGAGACTTTCAGGCAACATTTTGGGGGTCAGGAACAGGACACTGCAAAAGCTGACAGTAAAATACCTCAGTCACTCTTATCTTTGTGCCTTCAGCCTTAAAGGGGGATGAGGTAGGTTTGGTGTCAGTGGCTTTTAGACAGACACTTCTTGAGTGATTAACATGTCTATATGCAGAGTTAAGCAGGAGCCTGGTCCAAAGTTTTAAGACAAGGAGAGTCAAAAAAGAAGGGATGCCAGGCCTTCATTCTGCTTTTAGTTAATTTATGGGCCCAAGTGAGGAGTCAATGCTTTTTAGCAAAAGAGGTTTCTAAGTACCTGTTATGCTTTGATCCTATTTATCCCCCATTGCCCTTTTTTCAGAACATATCTGATATGCTCCCTCCCTTTCTGCCTGGGAAAGATCTTTCCATAGGAAGAAGAGATGGGGGTGAGGGGCGGGGTATCAGAGATGGTCGCAGATGGCTATTACCTGGGAGACTTCATCTGCACAGCAAGACAACTGTTGTGTCTGGGAACCTAAGGGACAGATGCATAGTAAGTCAGTATCCCATCCCCCATGGAGAGCACTGTGAGCCCTGCACCCTGAAGAGATACATGGTCTCATAAATCTTCCATGGGGCTGATAGATAGGATGCTCTCAAGGTTGTTTCCCCCTGATATGGGGCAAACAGACCAGCACATTGAAGATAGTCTGTGCGTGTGAATCCACAACCATGGGAACAAACCCACCTAACCCTTACCCTAACCCAGAGTTGAAGTGCCATAAAAAGCCCCAGCCTTCACCTCAGCAGGGAGCCACTGGTTTCCGGACTCCGCTGCACTGCTCTAGCTGCAGCCTTTTCTTTTTCTAATAAATCTACCTGTGTGCACATCCTGAGCTTATTCCTAACCCCAGTGAAGACAAGAACCTCTGGAGTGGCCCCCCAGTACCCCACAACACAACCCTTGCTCACTGTGTTCCTCCTCCTGCCAGCATTCCAGAGCCTGCTCCACCTCCCTTTCCTGACAAGCTCTAAGCCACAAGACAAGGAAGATAACCATTCTATGTTGATAAAAACATCATTTCTTCAGGAACACCCGGTAATCCCAAATGTGCTTGTACCAAATAACAAAGTGCTATGCATTCATTAGAAACTTCTATGGTGTTGAGTAGGCCAGGAGTATTAAATGCATTTTTGTTTTTGATAGAACTGGTGTTTGAACACAGTTCTTGTACTTACTAGACAGGTGCTCAAATGCACTTTTGACCTATGAGATATTCAATTAATGATGGGCTTATTAGGATGTAACTCTGTCAGAAGTCAAGGAGCATCTCTATTTTTTTTTTTTTTAACTGAACATACTTACAGTGAAAATTATTTACTGTTGATCTGAAATTCAAATTTACATGGGTCTTCTTGTCTTCTATCTTTCTTAGGAAGAGAAACCATGCTCTTCCAAAGAGGCTGGCTAGGCTAGTGTAAGCAGATCTGATGAATAATCCAAAGTGCTTTCTCTAACAACTGAGCAATATTCCTTGGAAAATAAGACATCAATAAGACATGGAGAAAGAGTCACTCTAAATGCGGTCTTTTTATTTAAATATTTTATGATGATACACATACAAATATTCTCTCCCATGGAACAAATGTAAAAAGTAATGCAAATTACCCTTTCAGGAACAAAGAAGACCCTGTAGAACATGTACCTGCACTAAAACGAGGGACAGATTAGGCTTTGAAGCTTGCCCAAGGAGGGAGTTTAAGACCAAATTTTGTTTTTCTAGGTCCATAGGTCATATTTACATTTTCACACAGTAGTGATATTTCTATTGCATATTTGGCAAAATATAACAACTACAATGAAAAAAAAAAACAAAAACAAAAAAACTACTAAGTAGAACGTAAACAATTCTAGACCATGGAAAAGTGAGCTCCATCTTAGCCACAGCTTATGAGTTCTAAAACTATTGCTGTTACTTGCACACAGTGGGGTGCATTGTATAAATTTTTTGAAAACACAATTCAAGGAAACAATATTTTTAAAAAAGTCTACAAAAGTATAATTCTAAAGTTTCACTTCCCCAGCAAAATATCTTAAAAGTCAAAAAATTAAGTCTTTAAAAATTATGAAAATTTGTTGGAGGAAATATTTACTGATTCTGCCTGCATATATATTTTGAAGCATTATTATTTCTAGGAGCAAGAAAACACAATCTATTTAGGAATGGCATAACCAAATAGCCTTTTTAAAAAAACAAGGCAAAGATATTGTGCAAAATGAGGCCAACTATTTGAGTTTTAAAAAATACACTATTTACTATTCGTGAACTAAGTCATGACAAGCCAATGATTTTTGAGACAGCAGAATAAAATCGTAATTTGAAATGCATAATTATAGAAATATAAGGTTTTTTGTTTATTTTAACAATTGTGTCTAAAAAAGGTTTGTAAAATTCAATTTAATTCCACAATTAATTATTTGGCACCCATAATAGACACTGCTATAAAGCAATGAAACATGCATCAGTCTTGCAACACTAGAGAATATGTTTGGTTAATGTAGCTGCACTGAATTGTAGCTGTTAAGAAAATAAAGTATGTCCTGAGTTTTTTTCCTAGAATATTAACATAATAAGTAAAATTATCTCATATTTATGAATTTTGTCCTGGATGATTCAACTGAATTTGAAGGGTCCAAAATTTTCATGACTGTTAAGAGACAAAATACAAATGTCATTTGTAAGATCACATGATGTGTGCATGTGCAGGGACACACAATGTATGCTCTTACCATGTTGGTGGTCTAAAAATCTAATCAACAAATTACAAGGGTTCCAGTCTTAAAGAAAACCAACAACAAAACTGGTAGCTAGACTGCTGGTGAATGTTTAGAAAAATGAGCTACTGATGCAGAAGGTAATGTAGAGACTATACAAGGTCAATGTTAAGTGGTAATTTGGTATGCAAAGAGACCCTGTTCCCTGGGCTGCTCCAGTGGATAGCTATGAACTGGATACTGTGTGTTAATCTGGTGGATTCTCAGATGTCAGATGTACCCTTTGTTTCATTTTGTGAACACTGTTTGCACAACTCACTAAAAGGCACTTAAGAAAGAGGATCGTCACTATGTCCTCAGTGTATCACAGGACATTTCTGAAATACGTATCTGGAAGCACAGACAGTATGGCCTTTTGTCTATCTGTGACTGAGGTACATGGAAACATGCAGTCCCTGCTAGTTAAAATCTAGATTTTGTGACTGGTTGCTGTTTATGAGTAAGAATGCTGCACAGTGCTATGTTTGGTGACCCTGGTAGAAGATGTGGTTATGGTAGAATTAGAAGGACCAGACTCCTCTAGACTAAAAGTTGGCAGAGGACCACCAGGAACTCCAGTTCCAGAAATCACTGTCTTTCCAGTCTTTCTAGAGGTTTCAGTGGGAATTTGGTGACTGGATTGCAGAGTGGAAGCAGGTGTTAGCACTCTTTCTGTCACCACCACATTCTGTCCTACTGCCATGTGGGGTGTAGCCAGAGCGGGCTGTAACCCAGAGCTGGGGGCAAGGATGCTCTCTCTTTCCCTCACCATAACATAATGTGCATCTTGCAGGTGCTGGGTGCCTTCCAGAGGGTTTGGGACGCCCCCATTAGGCTGGATCACTCTTTCGGTAACCGTGATGTTACCTTCATTAGCATAATGCTGGTCTACCAAGGTGGAAGCTGGAGCATACACCCTTTCTGTCACAACAAGGCTCTGTGGTTGTCTAGGGCCCAGGATCACGGTGCTTGGTGGCACAGTGGAGCCTGTGCCATAGGAGGTTTCTGTCATTATGATATTGCCAGAAGCCACTGGGTCAGGAAGAGGCGGTGCTACCTTTTGACTCTGCCTAGAAGACATGGGTCTTTCAGTGACAATTTCCTGAGTTACTCTCTCTCTATGTGCTTCACGTGAAGGTTCTGGAACTTGAAAGCTGCTGCCAGAGGAGGAGGCACTGTCTGAATTAACCATAGCTTGCTCATAGAGTGAGCGTGAAGCTGTGTTCATACCTGTTTCTTTGACAGGGCCTTGCCTCTGTTCACTATCTACATCCATAACTATTTTTTGACCCAGGCAAACTTCAGCGAGTGTCTTGAATTTAAGTCCCAAGTCATCCAAGAAGCGGTCGTCTTGCTCTCCTTCAATAAAACTGCAACAACCAGTGGACCCATGTAAAGATTCTGTTTCTTCTTGAGAATAAACCAGAAGGCAGTCTTTGGCCATGTGAATGTCATCCTCCTCGGTGTATGAGGCCACTTTCTATAAGGAACACAAACATGGAGTCACATAATTAGTGATACAATTAATATAAAGCTCTATATTCTTATTTAAAATGCAAAACCTGAGTCTGACAATTACAAGAAGACCTAAGAGAAACACAAACCGAGACACATCCTACATCATGGCTGGCTTGTTTTCTTAAAAAACATTAAACTCCTGGAACAAAGGGGGCGGTGTGAACAAGATCAAAGTACATTATAAGCAGGTAGGAAAATGTCATCATGAACAATTAATTTTGTACAATTAATATACAAAGAAACAAAAGGAAGAAAGTTAAGAGAATAAAGTGTTTTGACAACTAAATGGAACATAGAATCCTGGATAAAAAGAACAAATGCTATAGAAGACATTATTTTGATAATTGGTGAAATTGAAATATAAATTGTGTTAATTTTAAGTTTCTAAATTTGTTGACTATACTACGGTGATGTAGAATGTGTATGTGTGTGTGTAAGAGAAAGAGAGAGGAAAAATGGGGCAAAATGTTAATAATTGGGTGAAATCTAGGTAAAGAGCATTCAGGAGTTAAAAATTTCCATTTAGGAGACAAATTTCCTCCTAATTTTTGAAATTGTTTCCATATCAAAAAGTTAGTTACATACACACATAACCAAGAATGACTGGAGCAGGATTAGAGTGGAGAAAGAAAACACACCACAAAACAAATGGTACTAGATTTGAACAGTGAGACAGGAAAGGAAGAAGTGGTTTTTCTTGACCATTAACCTATAGAGCTAATCCAGGGGAGGGTAGAAAGGGGCCAAACACTCTAATAATTTGCAGACTTAGAAAAGGAGGACAAAAATAAGTTGTTTTCCTCCATGTAAGCCCCTCCTCTCAGTCAGTCCTCTCAAATGCCCTTCAGAGGCTTAACATTCCGACTGGAGTTGCCCACCCTATGGGGACACAGGAGACCTGTTTTCAAGAAAGGCACCCAGTCTTGCTTTTTTCTCTTTTTTAAACTATCTTTACTATGTCTATGGGGTCTGTAGTAATGCTCTTTATTTCATTTCTGATATCGATAATTTGTCCGTTCCCTTTTATATCTTAATTTGATTGGTTAGGAGATCTACATATTTTATTAATCTTTTTACATAGCTTTTGATTTTATTGCCCCTCCCAACTGTTGTTTAATATTTCATTGATTTCTGCTCCAGAATCCATTATTATATTATTTCTGCTTGCTTTGGGCTTAACTTGGTTTTCTTTTTGTAACTATTTAGGATGGAAGCTTAGTTCAATTGATTTGAGACCCATCTTCTTATCTAATCATTTTTACTATAAATTTCCCTCAAAGCATTACTTAAGTAGTATCCACAAATTTTCATAAAGTATGGCTTAGTTTTCAGTTAGTTCTAACTGGTTGCTTCTGTTATTTATTTATTTTAGCAATACTGGAGTTTTGAACTGTGAGCCACAGCATCCAGCCCTAATGTTTTTCTTTTACCCATGGGATATTTAGAAATGTGTAATTTACAAATATTTGGGTATATTTTATATATTGTGTAGTTATTGATCTTTAGTTTAATTTCTTATTGTGCCAGTATACTGCATGACTACAATTCTATTAAATTTATTTAGACTTGTGTCACAGAATATAGTCTGTATCTGAATGAGTTGTATATTGTGCTTTTGTGGCATTGAGGGTTTTATCAATGTCAATCAGATGCATTCAGTTGATAGTGTTGCTATATTTTTTATATTCTTGCTGATTTTGTGTTGACTTGGTTTTTGAACTATTCACAGAACAGTTCTCCAAGTGTAATTATGGATTTGTGTACTTCTCTTTCACTTCTAAAAATTTTTGCTTCCAATTTTGACTTTCTTTTATTAGGTACTGACTTATTTAGGACTGGTAGGTCCCCAGATGAATCAATACACTTTATATTATGAAATAAGTATCCCTAATTACTCTTAGTAATGAGATGTATTCTGAAATATGTTTTGTCTCTAAGTTTATCTTCAGTCCTGCTTCTAATTCCTAATTCCAGGGAGGAGCTTCCTTACTGTGTCTGGTCATCTTTCCCATAACATTCTTCATCTTTTTTTTTGTGAATTCTCCTCAGAGCAAAAACATTAAATGGACTTAATAGCTTTTGTTTTTTATTCTGTGCCCCTCCCTCTTAGGCTCACCCCATCAAGCCTGCTCCTTGTACTTTCTGACACACTGATAGGTAGTATGGTCATGTGATTTGCTCTGCCCAGTGAAATGAGAGCATAAAAAGGGTGAAGGCTTTAAGAAAAATTGCTTGGTTCTGCCATTGTTCTTTTCCCTGTGCCACATGGGCTGCAGCTTCTCAGGTACAATCAGCTCCTTCAGCATGCATCTTAGACAATGTGGAGTAGAGTAGAGCTGAGTTGACTGACAAAAACATGAATATAAGTGGGAACAAAGCTTTTATGACAGCTAAGAAGATTGTGGGGTTATTTGCTATCTTAGCATAGTGTAATTAACACTGAATCTTCAATGGATTCCATCTCTTTTTCAATTGCCTATAAGCATTACCTAAACAAAACAAACTCAAAGGCCCATATAGATCCAAGGCAATGGTTGACCTAATCAAACCATATCCCTTAAAAATGTTTTTCCCCATATATAAAAACCAACCCTTACATCAATGAAATAATTCCTTAAGAATTCCTCATTCATGGCAACAGCAGCTGCTCTAGCTCCAGTTATATCTCTGGAAGCTCCTGTGGCCCCTGTGGCTCCTGTGGCCCTTATGGTTTCATTGCCCGCAAAGGCTCCTGTTGTTCCTGTAACATGAGTGGTCCCACCAGTAAGGAGGCTTCTGTGTTCTTCCCATCTTCCATCCATTTCAGACAAATCATGCTGCCCTTTGGTAAAAGAAGCAGAACTACTTCCTTTCATGGTGGCTTCCTTGGTTATAAAGCCACCTACTCCATTTTTTACTGCTAGATTCTCCCCGTGATCCACTGCCAGAAGCGATGGCACCGCCTGTGAGCAAATACAGTTGAGAACTGAGTCAGAAAGATGGAGGGTCAGCACAGCTAGTATAAGGATCTGAGCTAAATGGCATTAAGGAGATGCACTATTTTCCCAAAGGAAGATTAGAAAAAAATATATTTTTTTTGGTATGAATTAATTTTTTTTACTCAGAACCTCTATCTTTGTTTTAAGACTGGTATGAAAAAAATAAAATGCAAACAACTTGTTATTAGCATAATAGCTGTAGTTATTAACTGTAAGGATACAATAAAAATCAGATTAAATGTTAATGTTCTTGCAAGAGAATTATCCTAGTCACTTTATGGCAGCAAATCATGACAAAGATTGATAAATTCACTCAGGAAAAATATTTTGGGTTGAATAACTTCTCTTTGAGTCTTATTCTATCTTCTTGCTTCATAGCTGATTATAACCCAAGGAGGAAAGAAATTTTAACTCCTATGTGTCTCAGCTTACTTACTTTACTGGCACCAAGGGATTTCAACTTTCCTCTTGGGTTTGATGTCTTCTGCTACAGTTAAAGAACACTTAAAACTTTATTTTTAGCTGAACACGTGGCCATTCAAAATACGCTCTGTATTTCTAAGCCTCTGCTAGCTACTGCTAGATACAGCCACCTGAGTTCTAGTCAGTGTGAATGAAATAGGAATGGTATGTGCAACTACCAGAAAATGTGTCCATGAAACAAGTCAGTCAACTCCCACCTGCTAGTTGGAACGTGAGGAGAATAGACGTGAGGACAGCATGGGGATGGAACCCATCCACGGAGAGGACCAAGAAAGGAGGAGCCTGGAGCCATGGGTTGGAGATCACTGTGTTGATCCTCACTCAACTGTCTGCCTTTATGTTTTAGCCTTTGTTATTTTAAGTTCTGGTGTGGGAATCATTTGCTCTTAGAAATGGCACTCCTGGCAGAGGAAGATGAGAGAGCCAGGGTGAAGATGCACTAGAGTCAAGGGAGATAGCTATGAAGTCATTAGAAGGGGATTTTGCACCATTTTACAACTGTCATGGGAGTTGGAGGTTTACCTCTGTCAATTGTATGTATCAAAGGGAATGGAAATTGAGCAGTTCCTGATAGTGAAATAATACCCATTTAATACTGAGACGAAAATTTCTCTCCCAAATTCCTATTCACTCTAGATCTCCCTGACCCTTTTCTCCATTCTCTGGACCATTCCCTGACCCACAGTACACATTTTCATTAGCACAGGACAGAAATATCAGAATGCACTGAAACCATCTCTACCTGGCAATTAACACAAAATACGCTGTCATTTGAGCTCTTTGTTTAACAAAGGCAAGTGCATGAAATCTGCAATGACTACTGTTGAAAAAAACAAACCTCTTTTGTTCTGCTCTCACACAATAGTCAACAGACTCCTAACTAACCAGTTCTACAGCAGACACAAACTGAGTGTCCTTTAAGTCAACGCCATTCTGTCACTGTCTACTTGGATGCAGTGTCAGATCCCACAGGTTGAGGGCTCAGTCCCCAACACTATCACTTTGGAGCTTTCAAAGATTTTAAAGTTGTATGCTGAGAAATAGGGTAAAACACCAAATATATATTTCATAATGTTACCAGGACGAAAAATGTTAGAAGTATCTCCCAAGGCCACTTAATTTAAAACAAGAAAAGATGAGTGACATTAATATCCAATGAACTGACCTTGTCTTCAGGGGGTGCCCCTTCATTATTCCAAGGGTGCAGCATCTCTATAGTGCCAGGTATGGGGGTGAAGCCTTTGGCACCCTCTCCGCAATGGCACACCAGCAGCAAAAGTGGCACAACTGTACAGAAGCAAAACCAAGTACATAAAAGATCAATGCTGATGTATTTCTAAACTTAAGCTGCATCATTTTGGGATCTGCATAGCATTTTTTCTTTTTTTTTGGTGCAGTTCTGGGGTTTGAACTCAGGGCTTCATGCTTGCTAGGCATGTGCTCTACTGCTTGAGCCACACCTCCAGCCCAGCATATCACTTTAAGTATAGTCTTCACCCTTATTCAACCTCTCCACGTTTGTTTTGGTTGGGTTACACCAAAGCCTAAAGGCAGAAGGAGGGAGTCTTGCAGACTGAAAGTTCTTGTTCATCACAAAGGGTCTGTCTGTGGTTACTGAGAAGAATACTATTCAGACTGGATGAGATAGGATCCAAATCAGCAAAAACATTTCAAAGATTACATTTTTTTTAAAAACCATTGTCCAAAATTTTTTGGTAAATTTACTGTCCCAAAAATATGTATTACAAAGATCAAAAACTCTCAAGAGTAATAAAAATTAATGTGTTCAAATATTCTAGAACATTGAAACTGCTGAAATACTTTACTTTTGAGCAGGATTTTGTATAAGGCTTGATTCTCTGAAGTCTTAGCCGGATTAACCTAAGTACTATTTTCTAAAATAATTTTACATTAAAACCCCTTAAAATTATACATTTATATAAAACATTTCATCTAAAATTCAATACAATTTCAGAGCCCTGTCATTAAATTTTATTCTACCTTTAGGAGGAAGCAAAGACTGAGGTGGACCCCTGATCAATGCAGTAAAGAATTTGCCACATCTACAAGCAGTCCATTCCAAATTGGGTTTTACTGCTCTTCCCACTTGGCAGTTTGACGAGTTGAATGCGTCCTCAATGACAGCATAGTCACTATGGCTACTGTGGTTACTATAGAGACTGAAGTCAGCTAATGGCAATTCAGCATCTTCTACACGGTTGGTAAATATTAATCGAGTGTCTGTCATGTGCCAAGTGCCATATTAGGCTCCAGGGAATCTGAGAGAAGGCGGTGCAAGGAATTCCAGGACCTGCCTCCAAACCTGGTAAAATGTTACAAGTCATTCACCATTGTGTTTGTATTTGTAACTGCCCATAAGACAGCTAATGGAATAAAGATACATTGTAAATGGGGTTCCAGGCCAGGCCAGGAGCAGAGGAATGAGCTAAAGGAGAGGGGCAATAAGGCCCTGAGTGCCAGTAATTGAGGATGTGTTGAAGTGCTACTCTGAAGCGATTAAATTAGATCTCCAGAACCAGGTGCTCTCCAGCAATCGCTCTGTAGCCTATGCCTAGAAGGCTTATGAGCCCTAAAGCCTGACTGGTGCAAGGGCTATCTGTGAAGAACAGCGGCTCCTGAGTTCTTGAATTAATTTGAATAAGCCAAGTGAACCTATAGGAGTATTTAAAATGTGAAGTGAGTAACCCTCAGTTCAAAGAGGGTTTACAGTTATGGAGGCCCCACTGGCAGACAGGACATTCCTGAGCCCTTCCAACATGTCTAATCTATACCAGAAGTCAGAGAGTGATCCCAAACACTCAGTGTTACTCAGTGATCCCAAACCTATGGGGAACTGACTGAGCAGCTGTGGAACAAGCCAGGAGGCCTGGGCACAAAGCTCCCAGGTTCCCAGATCATGACCACTGTCAGTGTCCTCCTTAGGGTTGATCTGGGCAATATGGATGAGGAAGAAGATGCTACAACACCCACCACCTTCTCTTCCTAAAGGAGACCAAGCCAGAGCCACTCTTTTCCAGAGAATAAGAAGCCAGCAGCCTGTAATTTTAGCTACTTAGGAGGCTGAGATTGGGAGGATCGAAGTTCAAGGCCAGCCTGTGCAAATAGTTCGCAAGACCCCCACTTCCAAAATAACTGGAGGTGTGGCTCAAGTGGTAGAGTGCTTGCTTTGCAAGTGTGAAACCCTAAGTTCAAACTCTAGTCACAACAAAAACAAAAACAACCAAACAAACAAAAAACCCAAAAAGTTACAGGCACTGGAAGAAAAAGAGGTGGGAAGGATATGCCTTATAAGAAGACATTGACACAGCCCAGAAGTGTTAACACAGAGCCAAGGAACTGGACACCACCAACGTGACTTACATTACCCACCAAGCAGCGGTATACATTGAAAAGGCTATTACCAGAAATACTGGGAGCTTTGTGAGAAGGCCACCGAATTGGGGAGGAAGAATTGAGACAATTGACAGACTGCCAAAGCTTATGCTCAGATTGGCAATTCCTACTTCAAAAAAAGCAAAGTCCAAGGAAGTCATCCATTTCACCAAGTCTCTGGAAGAGCACTGAATCCCAGCATGTTCAAGATGTGCCATCAGTCAGAGAAGATCCTGAAGGAGCAAGAGTGGCTGGCTGACATCAACCCTGACCTGGCTTGAGAGGAGAGGAGCAAGGGAAATGAGTGTTCTCAGAAAGGGGACTGTCACCATGCCATGAAACACACAACATGAAAGTCACTGAGTGGAGCCCATGAGATGTTGAAGTGTACAGCAATCCAGCTGTCTACAGCATCAAACCTGAGTGTCAGCTGGTTCTCAAGGATAGCGAGGAATATTTCCAGCTAGAGCTGACTTTCAAGGGCTACATGCTGGAAGCAGCTGCCGTAGGAGCCACGAAGGACCACGGAGCCATGGATGTGGACCAGAGGTGCTGGATTTGGGCTCCAGCTTACGAGGAGTTTACCAGCACTGATAATGACTCCGTACAGCCAGCGTGACAGCCATGGGTGACTCTGAGGTGCAGCAGATAAAGAATGAATGACCTGGCCATGGGGCTCATTCTGAAGCAGATGCAGAAGGGCCCCCAGTGCTCAGTGAACACATAAAGAATCCCGTAACGTGAGGAAGATCCAGAAGCTGATGGGTGGGAGTCTGATTGCAATTGCCTATGGCCAATTTCCTTTGCTCTTGTGTGGAAAGACAAGTAGCAAGCAGCACAGAGCAGAGGGAAGGGGAGAAAGACTGGCTTATTTTCATATTTACACATGCCTATGTGGAAGACAGACTCGTCTAGCCTCTGTTTCAGGCCCCCCCAGCACACTCATAGTCTCTTCACAGCTGGCCTTACTCCTTCGCCTGCCTCCCTCCACCATCTTGGTTGCTCCCTCAGAGTTGGTTATTTTGTACTTGGTACAGTTGGAATATATGGCAAAAGGAGGGTGTTCTTCCCAACCTAGGGTTCCAGCTGTCTTCACATTATCATTTCATTCCCCTTCTCTCATAAAACCAAGCAGTTGGGGATGGTCAAAAAAAAAAAAAAAAAAGGACCATCGTAAACTTTTGAACATCTTGTATTAAGTTAGACATCTACTAATGGCTTAATAGGCTCTTCCTCTCTCACTGAGATAGCCCAGGCTGCCATGTGGGTGGTGCTCTGCCCAAGTTCAGTGACCAAGTGGAGTGGAGTTCCATGTGACGCCAGGCTGTGGTCCTTTATTCCATGAAAGGAAGTGGTTGTTGGAGGACAGGCAGAGCAGGCAGGACTAGGTGAAAGCAGCTTCCCATTGGTACATTGTACAGAAGGTGGGATGCTCTGACTGCTGTTGGAACTAGAAGAAGTAAATCAAGCAGTGGGTAGCAGGGAGATGGAAGAGCTCGGACAACCTGAGCGTGCAAAGCAAGGATGGATGGAAATACGCCAAGTTTGTAAAATAACCTCATATCCATATCCCAAATTCATGTTGCAAACGTTTTCTGAGGGCCTACTAGGAACTAGGGACTGGGAATACGATAGCGTGTCTTCTTGAAGCTTATCCAAATGCAGATATCAGCAAGATTTATGCTAAGTGGTAACTGAAAAGTATGTATAACCTCAGTTACCAACATTAGAAAATGATACATTTCTATAAGGTAAAATTCTGAAAAGACTCCTCCAATAAGCTTTGGAGAATTTATCAATCATCAATGATGGTCTCCCTGTTTACCATCAAAAATGTTCTAATAAGGTTAAAGAACAACTGTAAAGAAACCAATGATTACCAGAGTCATAAATTACCAGTACTGCAAATTACCGAAGACACTAAAAAGTGGCTTTGAAGACTTACGCAGCAAGAGCAGAAGCGCCAAAATCATGAGTGCAATCGCTGCGGGTCCCAGGCCGACGTGGGAGTCATGCTGGGCTTCCACACAGCCACTGCCATGCAGACACTCACAGACCGTGAGTTTGAGGATCTGCGTTTCAGGGCAACTGAGGCCCTGATTGTCTGAGATTAGGAACTGAATTTCACTTCTCCCAAGGTTCTGCTCGCTTTGCTGCAGCAGCACACTGGTACCTATGAGGGGAGGCAGGAGGAGAGAAAATGATTACAAGGAAAGGGAGAAATTACATCACAGACATGTTCTTTATTTAGCTCCAGTTAGCAGCTCTCTTTCCTTCTTTAACTTCTCATTGAATTCATTCTGTGTGCTCAGTGAAATTTATCCACAGACCTTGAATGTGAAGTTTAAGTAGCTAAGGATCAGATTTGGACACTTTATTTTCATGATGATTATTTTAACAAATGTGTGTAGTCTACACACATGCCTGGAACTTATGTTCGAATTGGCAATCCCTACTTCAAAGAAGAAAAGTGGACTGGGAACTGTTCATGTTACGATATTAGGAAAGCAGAGAAAGAGAAGGAATGCTGGTGCTAGTGGCTTTTTCCTTTTCCCTCTTTAATTCCAAGTGGGATGGAGCCACCTACAGTAAGGGCAGGTCTTCCCCCTCTTAGTTAATCTCTAGAAATGTCCTCACACACACATCCAGAGGTGAGTTTTACTAATCTCCTAGGTGCTTCTCAATCCCATCAAGTTGACAATCAAGATTAGCCATCACAAATCCTAAGAAGATTTGGAATTAAGCATAGGAATAGTTAAGCAAATTAAGGAAATAGTATTAATATATTTCCATTGCTAGGAATTTATTTATATTTTTTATGTACTCACATCCATTGGCATGGGGGGTTGTGTGTCAGATAGACTCTGTCATGTCCCACTACAGACTAGCTTTGCAACTGTGAACAAGTTATTTAACTCTATATAAGCCAAGGTTTTTGCACCTGTAATCAGGAAATTTAATTATATAGAGTAAGAGTTTAGGATGATAATGTATACAGAGTGCCTGGCACATGCTATTTTAAATGGAATTATTATTATCACACTTCAAGAATTCACAAGATGCACTTCAAGACTCTATCTGCTATTACTGTTACACCTAAAAAGATTTGGTCTGCCTCAGTTTGAGAGAAAACTACTTCCAGAGCTATTTGGAGAATACCTGGGTAACCTTTTAGATATTATAGGTAATTTTTCTTTTCTCCATGGTCAAATAAAAGCTATTAAGTACATCATTTTAATAAATGCACTCATAAAAAGTTATATTAGAAATATAATTTGTGAGAAGAAATGTTATTTGTAAAAAGATTTTACATATCATGTTCAGTATTTGAATTTTAATGTAGCCCAACAATTTTGCTTACTTTCTTGGTGTATTATTTTCCACTTTTCTGCCATTCCAGGTGGTTTGTCAATGATAGAGAAACTGAAAGGTCCACTGTTTGGGTCTCCATCCAGGTCTTTTGCAGTGACATTCACATATGGTGTGTCATAACAGACATTCTGCACTGGGTCCACCAGAGTGGGACAGTTGTCATTGATGTCTTCAACATTGATAATGACAGTGCCAGTGATGGTTTTTCTAGGATAATCTGAGAAATAAACAGGGAAAAATATGTATATTCTGATCATATTGTTGACATAGAAATGCACTGAATTCTTCTGTGAGTCTGGTGTGGAGACTGCAATGACCACTGAGGACAATTCCCATCCTAAATAAGTTGGAATATACAAGCTCATCCATTGGAGAGGTAGATGTTTACATACTTTCAAAACAAAAGCTTATGATGATGAAGATAAAAACTAAATACATATAACAAAGAAAAATATCCATTTAATAACTTACCGTCTGATATAGCCACAACCTTTACAGTGTATGTACCATTTTGGACATATCTTGATTCAAAATCAGGAATTTTTACAAGTTTAATTTCTGATGTGACAGTATCCACAGAGACCCAATTGTCTACATCTTCCAATTTTATGTATCTGTTATAAAACAAACATAAAATTAAGTTTTAATTCTGTTGAATTGAGAATCTCTAACATCTACAACTCTTTCAAATTTAATTTTTATCCCATTATCTATGTTCTTGTTTCAGGCATTTGTTTTCAATGTTTTTAATTCCTTGAAACCATCCTATACGTCCTCCTTTATTGCATATCACACTACTTACAACCTTCCTTCTTCTTGTAATGTACCTAAGACACACGATCAAGGGCAGTCATCCTTAACCTACTAACCCAGGAGGCTGGGAAGTTGCTATGGAGTCTGCTCTACAGCTTTGATTTGGGCTTATTGATTGATTGACTGATTGTCAGTACTGGGGGTTGAACTAAGGGCCTCGCAGGCACTCTACTAGCCCTTTTGCATTGGTTAGTTTTGAGATAGGGCCTAGCTTTATGTCCAGGTCAGCCTGCACCGTGGTCCTTCTATGTGTGCTTCCCCATATAGAAAGGAGGACAGGCGTGCCCCAGTGTGTCTAGCCAATGGATGAGATGGGGTTTTATGAACTAACTTTTTGCCTGGGCAGGCCTCAAACCATGATCCTTCTGTTCTCAGCCTCCCAAATAGCCAGGATTACAGGCTTGAGATGCTGCACCTAGCCTTAGTCTCCTTTAAATTTAGGGTAAGCATTTGGAGAATAACTTAGTTACAGAACAAGACAGGTGGAGAAAAGACAGCTAGTCTTACATTTTATTCTGCTTATTGAAAAGATGTCAATAAAAATACCAACTTTGTAAATGAATGATTCTCTTAAATGGAAGTATCTAAACATTTTGAGATATTGTGGATTGCTAGGAACAATAACTTTCTTTCAAGCAGAATAACTTTCTTCCAAAAGTAAAAACAATGCAGAAGAAACCCCTGAAAGCAAGGAAGAGTTAGTGTGCAAAGAGCCAGCTATGTGAGAGCAGGAAGAATGTTCATATTATATTTTTAGACATGTATGCCAGTGAACTTAACAAAATATGAATATAAACCAAGCACATGAGTATCTTGGTTCAGTCAGTCAAGCCAATCACTTATTTTCTATTACATGGCTGTTAGGCCTACAAGAAAAGATGGCTAATTTATAGCAACGTTTATGTAGAGCACTATTTAAAAAAAAATATGTTTGGCAGTATTTAAAAAAAATCTAGTTATACACTTGAACTAAATTTTTATGACTCTCAATATTTCTACTGATAAATGCTAATCCATTTGGATTTTCACAAGTACCTCTGAATTTCATGTCAGGAATATTCAGGTTAGGACTGACTCGCTGCCCGTGGTTCCCCACATTTGTACTTATAATCAAAGTGGTCCTAGTGCTTAGCATCATACTTCCCAATGGAATGTTTTATGTGATCTCACTTAAGGAATTTTCTAACTGCTCTCTGTTGTGAAAATTAGACACCATTCAAGTAGGATGGTAGCTCACATGTTCTGTCAAATCTCCATAAACAACTGGCATGTATGAATGGTCACTCAAATAGTAAATGATGACAAAGTTAAGGGAATGATTCTTTTGCTGTCCTTATTAAAGTTTCAAAATAGTAAATGCTCAGCTGTGCCTCCTATTCCTTGTGTGAAATAAAGGGTTTGAAGTGACCTTTAAGATCTCCCTCATTCTAAAGTTCTATGATTGTATGTTAAAGAGTAAGAAGGAAGAATGGCTCATCATTCTGTAAGGCAAACGTGCAATTTTTTGATACATTCATAGCTTCTAATGAGGATAGCAGTCAAAACTTTAAAAACTGATGAAAGGCAGGATTTTCAATGGATAGCCCCAATGTTATTGGTAGGTAATTAATTAGAACATACAAGCTTCTCAGTGGATGGTAGTTGAGAAATTATCACCCAGAACCTCAGAGAATTCTCAATTCTGTGGATTTAGTTAGCAACTGCCTTGTTAGGTGCAGAGCCATGGAAATTAAAACTAGACCACTCAGCTCAAAAGAAACAGGCTGGCTCTTGCACGAAGAGGGGCAAAAAGATGATCACCAAGATACTACAGAAAACAGTGGCAATTGTTATTATTTAGAAAAGTTATTTGATTCTATGATAATACATTCCATTCAAAGGAAAAGGACTGTTGAAGAACTTTCTTCATGTTTTTTTATTTTGCTACAGTTGGCCATGCTTCTAAATCATTGCTTTGTGAGGCATTGGTACACGGTGACATATGCCTAAGGACAGACAAGCCACCAAGCATCCCTGGCAATGAGCAGGGCTCAGCTGTGTGTCTGGGCAGTGGGTAGGAATTCTGTAAATCTAACACAAATCACTGTAACTCCATAAAATAATAGCTTTGGTTCTGAAAACTGTGAAGTAAATTTACTTTGACAATTTAAAAAGTATTGTGCAAATCTAAGGTGTCACTATAGATTGGATACCATCCAGTGTGGCGTCTTGTAGGCTCTTATTAAACTCATTCTGAGTAAAGCTCACCATGATCCAGACAAACACAAAAAGTTCATCAATTCCTAAACCGAATATCATGTTTAAATGAAAATTAATTTCCAAGTTTACTTGAAAACAAAACTAGTTTTCCTATATTCAAACCCATGAAGCAACTGTTTTTAACCAAACTTGAGTAAAGTGGAATTTGTGTAAATTTTCTACCTTTTTTTGGGGGGGACAGGGTCTCATTGTGTAGCCCAGCTTGACCTCAAACACGCACACTTCCTGCCTCAGCCTCAAGTGTGGGATCATCACAGATATGCACCGCCATGCCCAGCAGGTGCTAAATTTAAACTGCTATTTTCTTACCCTCCAGTACTCTTTTGGGAAATAAGACAGATTTTAGAAAGCTTTTCTTTATTGCTTTTAAGCCTTTTCTAGTCAGAACTGTTGCTGTGATGGGTAACTAACCCAGCCACATTCTCACACACAGGTGTCCGAGAAAATGATTCTGGTGGAAATTCTTCCTCTCTCAGCTAAAGGTACAACTTTGAGAAATTTACTCCACAGAGCTTTGGAGAACTACACGTGAAGGGATGGGTTGCCTAGATTTCATTACAATTTTTGAAAATAGGCATTTAAAATAATTTAAAATGAGCAAATACATTCATAGCCATTTCTTACTTTACGTTAGCTTGTTGTCCAGTGTCTTCATCAAGAACTTCAAATTTTCCAATTGATTGGCTCTGGCTTGATATATCCATGCCTTCACTAGCACGGACTGAAATTGTGCTGCTTTTAAAATGAATACCTTCTTTCACATTTTGCACCTTTACTTTGATGGGAATGGGCACAGGCTTATATTTATTCCCAATTGACTTGTGAAAAGCTGCTTTATTAGTGACAATAATACTTAAGTCAAGATTCTTCATTTTTTCATAATCAACTTCCTAGAAAGACAAAATCAAAGGGATTTTTTTTTTAAATAGAGAAAGCAACTAGATTGTATTTCTCATCCAGTATACATCACACCATCAAAACAAACACGTCAGGCACAAGAACAATTTAAAAGAAATTTTGGAAAAAATTGCAGTCATGAGGGTATTTTCTCTAGCAATTTTTTGTGGTGTCCTTATCCCAACACAATAGTGATCCCTATTTAAAATGGGGCAGAAGAAATTGGTGTCCCTACAGAACCCTACAGAAAGGAAAGAAAAATTCATAATGGCTTTGCTATAACTCATGTACACATATGTAATGTACTTAGTGTTCTCCTGAAGAAATAAGGAAAAATGGTCTATGCATCTCAATAGTCAGGGATGCTAGAAATAAAAAGCAATAAGAGATTAGGACCTACATAAACTTTAAGTAGGCAATTCTTTTAGTAACAGAACATAAGTGAACAGAGAAAAAATAGTCACATAAAGACAGAGAACTATTAATTTTATTTAACTATCATTACCATTCAAGGGCCAAGAGAATGGAAATAAAGTGAGTTAGGTACTGGGACCATGAAAGCTGTTTTATAATGTTGTCATAAATAACCAAATGCCCCAAAGAGAATGAAAAAATCTGGGTGCAGGTGGCTCACATCTGTAATCCTAGCTACTTGGGCGGCTGAGATCAGAAGGATCAGGGTTTGAAGCCAGTCCCGGGGAAATACTTCAAGGGACCCTATCCTGAAAATATCCAGCAGGAGAAAGGGTGGCGGAGTTGCTCAATTGTAGAGAGCCTGCTTAGCAAGCAAGAAGCCCTGAGTTCAAACACCAGTACCAAAAAGATAAAAGAAAAAAAAAAAGAGAGAATGAAAAAATTTTGCTACCAGGAGCAATTTGACCTCATGGCAAATACTTTTTTATTTTTTAATTTTTTTTTTTACAACACTATCAGCTTACTTTATCATTTCCATTATTACTGTTTTCCAACAGCATTACAGATTTTAAACTCATTGTTTATTTGCTAGCAACACTGGATTTTTCTCATATGATTTACTACCCCATTACCTTATTTAAAAATGCCTGTTCATCTTCTTTATGCTTATTTTGACAGCGGCATTGACGTATACTTTACAAACACTACAATTCACCCACTTTAAGTTTACAGAGTGATTATATTTAGTATTTGCAAATACTACAGTCCAATTTTGAACCCTTCCATCATTCCAAAAGTTCCTTCAAGCCTGTTTGCAACCACCCCCTCCTTGTGTCCCTAGCCCTAGGCAGCCTCTATCTGCTTTCTATTTCCACTGTTTTGCCTTTTCTAGAAATTTCACATAAATGGAATCACACAATATGTCATACTTTATATTTGGCTTCTTACACATAACATGTTTTTGAGGTTCACCCATGTAGCATGTATCAGTACTTCATTCTGTTTTATTGTTCAACAGTATTCCATTATATGGATATACTACATTTTATTTAGGTACTCATCAGGGGATGGACCTTTGGATTATTGACAGATTTTGACTACTATGAATAATGTGCCTATGAACATTATTCTGCATAGAAATATATTTTTATTTTTCTTGAGTGGATACCCAGGAATGAAATTGCTGGTAACAGGATAGAAAACCTATGTTTAACTTTAAAAACAAATCTTCCAAACTGGCTATGTCATTTTGTTTTCCCACCAGCAATATATAAAGGTTCCAATTTCTCTCCATTCTTGTCAAAATGTAGTGCTGTCAGTCTTTTTGATGGCTATGGTCTGAATGTTTGTGTCCCCATATGCTGAAATCTGAGCCTCCAAAGTGACGGTATTGAGAGATGGGGCTTTTGGGAGCCTTGCAAATATGGTTAGCGCTCTTATGAAAGAGGCCTCTGGGCTCTTGTTGGCCTTTTCCACCATGTGAGGCTCGAGCAAGCAGGCATCATGTAGGAGTCAGAATAGACTCTCAACAGACACTGAATCTACTTTGCTCCTGGACTTCCTAGCCTCACAAACTGTGAGAACTAAATTTCTGAGCTACACAGTTGATATTTTGTTATAGCAGCCTCAAGAGACTAAGGAATTGATGTTGGGCATTTCAGTAGGTGTATAAGGATATCTCCTGTAGTTTTAATTTGCGTTTTCCTTAATGCCTATTGACTCTGGGCACCTTTTCATGTGAGGATTTTTCATTTGCATATCTTCTTTATCTAACTTCTTTTCAATGGAATCTGATCCCTTCCCCTACAATTTGGAAGCAATTCTTTTTTTTTTTTTTTTTTTTTTGTGGTACTGGGGCTTGAACTCAGGGGCTTCACCTTGAGCCACTCCACCAGCTCTATTTTTGTGAAGGGTTTTTTGAGATAGGGTCTTGTGGAACTATTTGCCTGGGCTGGCTTCGAACCACGATCCTCCTGATCTCTGCCTCCTGAGTCATTAGGATGATAGGCATGAGCCACTGGCCCAGCCTGGAAGCAATTCTTTATATAACTGAGACAGCAAATTTGTAATTTTCTAACTCTGTTCCTTTCATGGTAATACTAATTTTACTATTTTTCATCCACACCCCTCTTGGTAGAAATAACTACATCTCTTTTTTTGTGCTATAACAGTAGATTGAAAATGCTCCCAGCACCTCTACTTCCATCAACATGGAACTGTTTCTTCTTTTGTGTTGACATTCGTATCTCAAACATCTGGTGTAGATGTACCTGTAACTCATGACTAAAAATTATGCTTCTTTTCATATAAGCAGATGAATTTATTTGGTCTCTGATGACATTTTCCATTTCTTCAATAATCATGAAATGTGTCTTCCTTTAAACATGAGGTGATACTCAATTTTCCTCTACTTTTAAAAAGGCAGTTTAAATGCATACAGTGATGTACCAATAGGTGGTGCCTGAAACTTTAAATTAATTCTTTTTTACTGTTACACATTTATTCCTTTTCCCTGTTAGATTTTACCTAGACTGTCATATATTAAGTTTTTGTAAAATTTGGGAACTTCTGGAATCAAATTTTGCCTGTGTGTAGCTTAATAAATCTGTATTTTGAAAGCTGTATATTTGTATTTTATTTTAAATTCAGGTAAGACAATTCTAACATAAACCATTTAAAAATATATTAAACCATCATCCTTTACTTATTTTGTTACATACAAATTCATTTTTTTTTTTTTTTTAATAGTACTGGGGTTTGAACTCAGAAAGCCCAATGCTTGCTAGGCAGGAACTTTATCCTTTGAGTCATACCCCTAGCCCTTTTGCTTTAGTTATTTTCCAGATAGGGTCTCCTGCTTTTGCCTGAGACCTGCCTTGGACCTTGATCCTCCCTACTTAATGCCTCCTGCATAGCTGGGATTTACAGGCATGAGCTATCATGCCTGGCCCTCCATCTTGTAATTTCTATTAAAAAATTCTGTGGGAAGTTGGGTGTTATGGCTTATGCCTATAATCCTAGCTTCTTGGGCAGCAGAGATACTGATGATTGCTGCAAAAGTTTGTGAGACCCCCCCCCCATCTCAACAAATAAAAGCTGGGTGTGATGACACATGCCTGTCAGTCTCTCTACATGGGACGTATAAACAGGAGGACCAGGGTCCAGGATGGCCTGGGCGTAAATGAGAGACCCTATTCAAAAACCAGCTAACAGAAAAATGGCTGGCAGCACGACTCAGGTGTAGTGTAACTGCCTAGCAATGATGAGACCCTGAGTTTAACCCTAGTACCCGCTCCCCACAACACAGAGTTCTGTGGGGGTTATGAGATACAAATGAAAAATATGCATATGCTTAGTAGGACTTTTTAATTCAAATTTTTTCCTTCATTGATTCAATGAAGCAGAAGAGATTAGAATACTTTGTTTCAAAATGTAGCCTTCTCAATACTTATATCAGAATCCTAAGGGAATTTCTATTCAAAAGGCAGGTTCCCAAGCTTCACCCAGTGGGGTGGTATCTTCATTCATGGGTAGCAAGCCCACACAACTGGGCAACCAGGGGTGTTTCCAGTTCCAAACAATGGTGGTGCCTGTTGCATATGTAAATGTGTGGCTCAAATTCTCTCCAACAGCAGCTTGTCCCATCCTAGGTTTGAACACTCATGACTTACCTTAATAAGGGTCACAATCCCTTCATTAGTTTGAGCATCGGTTTCTATGTGGAAGTAACCCTCTTCATTTCCTGATGCAAATGTAAAATTCGCCAGCCAGTTGTCAGAGCCTATTTCATCTGCATCAGTCACTTTTATGCGTATCACTTCTACATTGGCTTGATTTTCTTCAACCGTCCCTTCATACTGCAAAATGTGAGCGCATGATTTTTATTTTAATGCAATGTTACCTCAAATGGTATATTTTTAGTTCAGATTATAGCATGAATAAATAGGTACATTTATTATTAAAACAATAAGTTACCATTTCATGTTCCACTACAGGTATATTGTCATTGACATCCAAAATTTGAATCTGAACTTGAGCTTGCTTTACTGGTTTATCTGTTATTTGACCATTGCCATCTCTTGCTTCTACAGTCAAGGAATAGCTGCTGTGTTCCTGCAGGGCAATGAAAAATATCCATGAAACATTCCTAAATCTTTCTGGTTCTGGTTTACTTTATTGCTAAGAAATTGACCATGGTATATTTTATTCATAAGTAAGTTTTGTGACCTGTTGTTATTAGTATGAAGCTGCTACTTATTTGCAGTCAGGGCTTTGGTAGAAGGGCAGAAAAGCCTGAGGGAGTTACTGACAAATCTCAAACATGTCCTTGGTGATATTCTTAGGACACAATTCTCCTTAAAACAGTCTGCACAAAGAAGCACTGTTCAAAATGCAGTTAATTCTACACTGGAAGTGACAGCTGTCACTTTTTTTTTCCTGTCCCATACTTCATTCTGAGTTAAAGGTTAAGGCAGGTGAACCTGGTCCTAAGAAGACATGGCCAGTGAATGCAAAATTTGTTGAGAGACAGGATTCCCAGAGGCTATGTCCTAGAGACATCATTCTTTGATGTCACTCAGAAGCAAACCCTTCTCTTCTATGTGGTCCCTTACTATGGCTCCATTCAGGGCGTTTGGAGTTTAAGGAGCTCGGCTGCTAATGCCAGTGCATATGAGTCCTGTGTGGGGCAGAACCACTCAGTGAACAGAGGACAGCTGAGGCACTGGAGCCAGCTGCCTGAGCTCCAATTCTGGCTTTATCACTTACTAGCTGTGCTGAACACAGACTTAATCCCTTTGACTCTCAGCTTCTTTACGTGTAAGATGGGGATAATAACAGGATCTGCCTCACAGCGTTTCTATGTGGATTAAAGGAGTTAATCCATGTAAAAGGTTTAGGACAGCCACCTGGTGCATGGTAAATGGCCAATAAGTGACAGCCATTATTATTAGCTCAACTTCCCATACTTTAGAGACAGCAGCCTGTTAAAAACCACACTACTCAAAGTAATATCTTTCTAGTTTAACTTTATGTTGAAAGGTGTGGAGTAGAATTTCAGGAACAATTAACCACACTCATAAATTTTACAAAGATCTCATTAGGAATGCTGGCTATGGTCCTCCCCAGCTGAGCAGAGTTAATTTCCCAAGTGTGACACAGTGCACTTGAACAATGACTTAGATTTAATGGCAGCACAGTAATTCTTAGGATCACTGTTTTACTCTTGTATGCTATTAAAACTTTCACATATATAGTAAATTCTTCTATCTCCCTTTTTAATTAAAAAAATTGAGGCTGATGGAGTGGCTCAAACAGTAAGAGCACCTGCCTAACAAGCATGAGGCCTTGAGTTCAAACCCTAGCACTGAAAAAAAAAGAGGAAATATTTGAGAGAACAGTTTTTCTAGGATACCTACTTAGATTTTCCATTAGTTTGGGATTTAAAATAACTTTCTCCTTGACAAGGATTTTTATATCCTAACTAGGACTCCTGTTTCCAACTCCTGTCTCCACACCATCACCACCACCACCAGTCCCCTACTCCCTGATATATATTAGGAGAGGAGGACACTCCTGACATGTTACTAGAGAAACACAAACTGAGGAACATACCTTAGGATTCTCTAATAAGCATAATCCTAACTGGAGAGGGGCTAGAACAGTGCTGTCTTTATGTAATTTAAAATTTTCTAATAGCCACATTTAAAAAAAAAAAAAAACCCCGAAAATCAAAAACTAAAAAACAGAACAGCCAGGTGCTACTAATTTTAATTAGTCCATGATAGCCAAAATATCATTTCAATATGTATTCAACATAAAAAAAATTAAGGTGCTGTTTTATATTCTGTTTTCATGCTAACTCTTCCAACTCTGATTCATATTTTACACATCTTCATGGGCACATAACACACTTCAATTTGTTCCAGTCACATTCTAAGTGCTGAGCAGTGACATCTGGTTAATGACTACTATGTGATAATTCTTAGAGTTATCCTATGAATGAGGAATACAGAACAAAAGAAGAACATTAGGAAAGAAAAAGAGTGGAGAAACGGGAAATGATAGTAGTGAGTTTAAAAGATAGGCAACATAAAACATGACTTTACCTCCCGGTCCAAAGTAATACTGGTTGTATAAATTTCGCCGGTATCTTTATTTAGGTAGAACACGGGAGGGTTTGCAGGTTCCTGGGACACGATTCTGTAGGAAATTTTGGAATTCATAGTATTGGGCTCATCTGCATCCGTTGCGGTGATTTTCATCACAAGTGTATCTGGCATTAGAAATAAGAGTCTCTGTGGTCAGTACATTGACATCTATTATTATGTCATTTATAATTTCAGCCTGTTTCTAGGATTATTATTTCAGGCACTTATCAAAATCATAGCTTACCAGGATCAAAAATTTAACTGCAATGAGGAAGTAAGTATGAGTATAGAAAGAAAAACAAGATGAGGGCTATGCTGAATTTAGGGTGAAGTGCTTCAAATTTCTATAGGAGGAACACAAATTTGTTCTAGTAGACAATACAGACAAAGATGCATGAGTAGATACACAGTGATGATGTTTATCAAAATAAAAACAAATTAAGAGAAGTACAACTATACTTTTTATTAGGACTAAAGAGAAATCTCTCCTTTGTCTCCTCTATAGAGGACTGCAATGAACAATAATGTCAATAAACCTTTTTATAAAAGTAAGTCATAGACCAGCAGCCACACCCAATGGCTCCAGAGTCAACCAGCCACTTGTTTTTGTACATAAAGTTTTATTGGCACACAGCCACACCCACTTCTATGGTTGCTTTCCTTGAAGTAGTTGCCATGGAGACCTTACCAGCTGCATCAATCTACTGTTTCTTCTGAATGTAAAAAGGATGTTTAAAGTCCTTTGAAATGATATGAAAGCTCTGAATCTAAAGAAATAGGTTTATTATTATTATTTGTTCTGTGGGTAATACTCAACTTTTGTTAATATATAGAGTTTAGTGTTTCTCTGCATACTATGGATAAAATGTTTTTGGTTGTTCATTTATTAAAAAAAGAAAGAAAACAATAGACTCTTACGTGCTGCACTCAGTTCTTCAACAGACCCAACAAAGACTTCCTGTGTGAATACCGGCTCATTGTCATTGATATCGAGAACTTTAATGCGTAGTTCTAATGGTTTCTCTACATTGTTTCCTCTCACATCCAAAGCATAACCTGTTAGCTGAAATCATGACATAAATAATACATAAAGTTAGTTTTAAACCAGAGTAATTCAATTGATATAGTATAAAAAATAATAAAAATAGTAACTATCACCAAAGAAAAACTACAAAAGTAAAATTGTTCTTACCAAAAAATATGGTGTTTCTTCCCGATCAAGAATGCTAGTAATGTTCAATTCTCCAGTATCTTTGTTAAAGACAAATATGCCAAAAGGTGGCTCTGTAATCCCTTTTCCAGTGTATTTGTAGGTAATTTTTATTCCTCTTTCTTCTGCAATATCAGAATGTATCTAAAATAAAAATAACAGAGGAACCTTCAATTTAAATTATTTATAATTTACATGCAAATATTTTTATTGGACAATTTCCTGCTGACGCTGTCACAATGTTGATACGAGGGAGGTGGCTAACACATGCGATCAGAACCTGGGTTCTGATCCTGTCTCAGCACACACTACTTATGTGACAACGAGCTAGTTACTCAACCTCCCTGTGCCTCTGTGCTTTTATCTATAAAATGGAGAATATAATACTGTTTATCTTTTAGGGTTATAGTGAAATTAAGATATAGTTTGGGGGAGGAAGCATATTTTGTTTATTTTTTGTAGAACTGCATGCTAGACAAGACTCATCACAGCACCCCCAATGCTCCCTCCTCCCCCTAGAGTGGGGGATAGATTTTAAATTTGGCATATATAGTAAAAACTTCAGAGTCAAAGGTCACCTTCATAAATCTATCCAATCATCTGGAAAGTATGAACAAGGCAACTTTCCAGAGGGACTGACAAAGTAGAGCATCTTCCCTGCTTGGAATGCTTCAGCAAACCAATGTTTCTAATCAGCTGGGATTTCTGTAATTTTATTCTGATCATCTTCTCTGTGGCTATCCTTGGTTCCTCAGTTTCTTCTTCCACACGTCACTAAAGCCATCACCACCTACCTGCCTGGCCAGTTCTCTGTCCTGGAACTTCAGCATTAGTGACACAGGTTTCTCAACATGTATTAGGGTTGCACTGGGAGAAACCAAGGCAGCAGATGGGGCCTCAAACCTGCTACTGCTCTGCTGTGCTCCTCAGGCACAGTGAGGACTCTGGAGCAGCCACATGAGCTTTTGTCTGTCTATCTGTCTCTCTTTTTATGCCAAGTACATATGAATACACATACATATATCTATATGTACATGTATTTGTTTTTTCTGTTAAAATTTTTATTAGCATATTATTGTTGTAGTGGGGGTACACATTGTGACCTTTACAAAAGTGTTTACAACATATCATAGTTAGAATCATCCCTCCATCATTCTTCTTATCTTCCCTCCTCCCTTCTTAGAATACTTTCAACAGATCTCATCATTCCGTTTTCATACATGAGTACGTATTTCTACCATATTTGCCCTTCTTCAACCTTTGGTTATGTCCTCCCCCTCCAACCCTTAGAAAGGGCCTGTTTTACCTTCCTGTCCTTCATTTTTGAAAAAAAAGACATTTTTTGCTTGTTTGAGATAGCTACACTGGGAATTTCCTTGTGACATTTCCATGTATACATGTGTTATAACCCAAATTGGTTCATCCCCTCCATTTTTCTCCTTTCTATCTGAGTTCCCTTCTTATGGTGATTTCAACAGGTTTAAATATTCTATATGTATTTTTGTGTAGAAAGTATATCAACCATAATCACCTTCTTTACTTCCTTATTTTACCCTCCCTCTCCCATTAGTGTCCTTCCTTTAGTGTGAGCTGTTTTTCATTCTTGTCCTTCATTGTTTAGGTGTACATGTATTTGTATATAAGAGTATTTATAAGAATATTCTAGGTCTTTACGTACTGATTACATGTATACATATAATCTTATGTTAGAAATGAAACAAAAGCAGGATGTAGCAGAACTGTTGCTTTGTATTTCCATATGTATGCAATAAGCATAGTGCGTACATACATACATATGCATTTTACAAGTCTGGAATATATTAAACTTTTGATGATATAACCACTAGGTAGGGAATTTGGAAAGTTGAGGAAATTTAACAAGATCTTTTGCTTTTTATGTAAATTTTACTTCTAACAACTTATATAATTAACATTAGTAAGAATAGCTAAACACTTATTAAACCCCTAAGAATCAATATATTTTGGGAAAACCTCTTGACAGATTGTATAAAAAATAAGCCAAAACAAAGCAGAAAACTCAGTTGCCTGTCACATCCTATTATGTGAAACCATAGCAAAACACCTGAATTTTAGAAGGCTTTTATAAAAAAAAAAAACATGTTAGGAAACAGAAACTTTTATCTTTTATGCTGTGGCTACAATTTCAGCCTCTCTCTCTCTCTCTCTCTCTGGAAGTACTGGGGGTTGAACTCATGGCTTCACATTTGCTAGGCACACTTGCTAGGCTCTAGCACTTGAGCCATATCCCCAGCTCTTTTTGTTTTCAGTTATTTTCAGATAGTCTTGAGATTATGCCTGGGCTGGCCTGGAACCATGATCCTTTTGATCTCTGCTTTCCAAGTTGCTGGAATTGCAGGTGTGAGCCACCACACCTGGCCAACTGCTATTTCTCTTGAAGGAGCCCTTTGCGTACCTTTATAAAATTGGAAAGATGAAGGTCTTGGATATGAACAAGTATGCATTCACACAAATGTTTGCTGAGAGACTGTTTAGGGCATAAACAGGGCCTGAGAGCCCTAAGGACTGAGCCCTGCTTTCATGAAGCTTCTACTCTACTGAGGGGAGACAGACGACCATAAGCCAGCAATGTATGGCATGATGTCAAGCAGTCAAATATGCGTACACCAATGGATATAGGGTAAGTATACAGAGAGAAATGATGGTGGCAGAGAGGAGTTGGTTCTTGAATAGAAGCCTGGTGATGTGCCACACAGCAAATCAGGGATGTGAAGAGGATTCCAGGCAGAGGGAATAGCAAGTGCAAAAGAGGGAGGCTGGAAGGAGCCTGGTCAACTCAGGGGATGTAGCAGAGTAGGGTTTGGGAAGTGATAAGAACAGAGGACAGACAAATCACATGGGTTCTCCTAGACCAGGGTAAGGTTATTTCTTCCATTACACTAGGAAGCCACTCAAGCTTCCTTGGTTTGTCTTTCCAAGAGCTCACTCTGGCTAATTTCTGGAGAACAGACTCTGTGTGTGGGAGAGGGTGTGGCAACAGAGAAAGCAGGGAGACCAGCTGGGCGCTCTTAGGTAATGCTAGTCAGAGAACAAGGACCTTGAATAGGGGAATGGCAGTGGAGCTGAAGAGAAGTGGTGGCTTGGAATATATTTTGGGAGTAGAACTGAGAGTACTTGAAAAACTGTATAGAACTATAGTGCCATTTATAGAAATGGGTAGAACTTGAGAGAGGCTTTAGGGAGAAAAATCAAGAGTTTGGGCTTGTACATGCTCACTGTGAGATACATAATATTAGGATAACTACGTAATTTGTATAAAAATATTGGGTACCTTGAAAGTGAAAGGGGAGCCATTCATCACTAAGCCAGGACAATGGGCATATACCAGGCTGTTCCAGGCAAACCAGGACATAGAGTCACCAACCTCTTAGACACTGGCTCTTTCCACTTTGAAAACGGCTTTCTATGAAAATACACTCCTTTGAGTTTTGTGACACTTTTTGGTAAACTAAGTGAAACTACAGCCAATCCCTTAACTCCTAGTTGAGTCAAAACCAGAAGTTAGATGTATTTTTGCCAATGATGCTGCACCTTGCAGAATGGGAAAGAAGATCTTAAAGTTGACACTTTCTGCTCAAATACATCTTGAATATTAAAAAAAAAAATCAGTCATCACATTTTATGATTTTCCTTAGATTTTAAAAGGGACATAAAAATCATCTCACACTATAGTTTAGTCATGCATATGTTATGCTCCTGTGTCTCTTTAGAAGGTACCTTGGCAATTGGATTCTTTTTAGACAAATCCTCTCCCTCCCGAAGAGCTACAGGGGCGGTGATCCAGGCCCGCTTCTGCCGCACTAAGTGAGTATGTTTAGCAAGCAGCTTGTCTTCACTTCTTGCATTTAGACCTGAAACAATAAAATATTGCCAAAAATTATTATGTATCGTCAAACTTTAGCATGATATTCCATAATTTACTAAGCTTTAAAAATAGTGCAAATTTTTAAGGTATGTTGTGTATTTCTTAACAAGCTTCATTTTTAAAGAGATGTTCATATTCTAGCAAACTCTACAGGCATTCAAGAGATTGTCTCCAAATAAGTAAAGCAGCAGGGTTTGTTTTTCACAGTAAGGACAGATTTCTCAGAGTGAAGAATTCAAAAGGCTGGAGTAATTTAGTGGCCTTACAAATAGGCAAACTAGAAGTAAAGGACCATGTCAACATTTTTTTTCTTACTAGGTGAAAATGAGATTTCACTTTTCTATGATGGTTTAGTGTTCAAGAATAAATTAGTACATGTCTGAAGAATAAAATAAGTAAATTGCTGATATAAATTTGGCCCAAAACTGGTACAATTACCAGTTAATGAATTTTCTTTTTACAGGATGTGGGAAAGGATTAAATTTCCCATTTCTCAATTTCAGAACCTTAGATGAAAAATTACTCTATAGGCAGAAGGATGAATAAATGTCTCTGCCTTCCTCCAAAAAAGAAAAATTACTCTACACATGCTCATTTGGGTTTTATAAGTAATATATATTTTATCCAAGGAAAAATTCAATATAGATGACAGCATCTTAAGACTTAGGTAATTATACTAAGTTTATCTGATCAATTTACTCATTTGTTGCTCTGTATAAACGTGTTTTTTATTTCAAAATGTTTACACAGGTTACCACTAGGTCATTGATTTTCCTTTGAAAAATATTTATTAAAAATGTGAATCATATAACATCACAAATGATAACATTTAAACTTATGATGTACATATATAAAACTTCCATTTTTCAGAAAGTATTCATTCTTCAGAGTATTTATTGTTAACAGCTTGATAAATGTCTGTAATGATGCTTTGTGACTACACAGTTGCACATGTATTCACATGCAGATAAAGATCTTCTTCCTATCAAATGTGGTGTTGGCTATTTCTGGTCTTATATTCCTCCATACTTATTAGTGAGAAAGGCCAGGTCTAAGGCAATGTGGATTTTCAATCTGGTGAAACATAGCCAAACTGTCCACTGTGAAATCAATAAGCCTCCGAGACCCAGAGATGGACATAGTCCCCTTGCATCCTTACCTCTAAGTGAAGTCCATTTCCAAGGTTCAAGCAGATCTGTAAAATAAAATTAGAGACATAAAAACAGAAGCTTAACCACCTCTATCATCCTATGCCAAAAAGAAAGAAATCATAATTTTCCTGTTTGCCCTTCCCAACAACCAGGCCCAGAGGGAGGAATCTACATTCTCCTTGGTCCACACTGCCTCCTCCATAAACTAACTAGTAGCTTAAAAAGCAAACAAAAGAATCTACTCTGTGTAATCTTAAACATTCCGATTCCCCCCTCACCCTATAGTTCTCATTGCGTGTTCTCTGGGACCCACATACCTATCTTCAAGGCTGTCAGTATGAGACTGGCCTCCCACTAATTACCATCCCCACGGACCACACGCACTCACAGCTTCTTGTGTTTTGACTTCTCCGTTCCTCAATGTCCTTAGCTGCACCAACTCTTTACTTTGGACATCACCATTACATAGTACTGTTCTAAATACTGTTCTTAAACTGCCCACAAACCCCACCTTGCTTTCTGAATTTTGCTGCAATTTCTTTCTAATCCATTAATCTCCTGGTGGCTTTACTTTTCTCCTGGCTTGACTTAACCCAACACATTCTAATATGGTAGCCACATGTGGCTAGTGGCTATCATTTGGACAGTGCAACTGGAGAACATTTGCATTTCACAGACCAGCAGACTTCTGCCAGTCATTCTAAAGGTGTTGTCAGTGACAGTCAGGGAGACTTTGTTTTCTTGGCCCTCTCGTATCTCTGCCTCACATTCTCTCAGACTCTGTAAACTTATTATTCTCACCCTGAACTGGCAATACTGCTAGGGAAAGCCACCTTCACACAGATTAGAGCAGCTCCTAATAGCTGTTCCTACTCTCCCTCCACAGGGGTGGAGGTTCTTTCTAGGGTGACCAATTTTGCTTGCCTAGGAGAGTATAGGCTGACACTTGTTTTCAGGCATCCCATCTGTTAGCATCCCACTTATCTGCAAAAGTGTATTCATTTAGACTACAAATGATATAGTCCCCTTGCATTGTCTCCTGTTACTTCATCCCTGTGTCAGGCATCACAAACTTCAGAACTCCCCAGTCATGTTGACCACATCTCTGGACCCACTCATTCTTACTCAACCTCACAAGTGTCTGAATGAGCGTTTATTTTCAGTTATCATATGTGTCCTCCCCTGTTCCCAGAGGAGAGTTGTCATGACTCCTTTCAGAGGTCAACCACCATCTATGTGCTTTCTTTTCAACTCTTCTACTTGTTCTCTTACATTCATCTTCTTAAGAACCTTGGTCCTTCCTCTAATCTTTCACCTCCTCCTCCACTGGCTAATCAAATATGTTTATTTCCTTCCCAAATGGAGAACCAAACCTATTTAGGTCTTTCCTATCCTAAAACTGACCTCTTTCTTATTTCTGTTAACACTTAAATTTACTGCTCTATATCCCTCCCTTCCTAAAATTGCAAACTGAAACAGTTGTCTCTTTCTATTGCTGCCACTTCTCCATCTTTGTATGAATTAAATGGAATCTGTCTCTGACTTGAATTTTTTGCCTTGTTTGCCTTTCCACATCTGTATCTCAGGATCCACGATGTCCATCATCATGGAAAATAGGATTTTCTCTGAAATTTCAAACTCTTTCACATTCTTTACAATTTTTTGAAGGACCTGTGGGGTCTGTTTTTGGCATGGATCCTTCACCCTCTTTCCTTGTCTGTACATGCTCTTGCCTCTTCATTCCAAAGAGAAACTCAAGATCACTGATGTTCAGCCTCTATGGCAAGCTTCTGGGGCAGATGAACAACCATAGCTTATCTTCTATTTTATAGTCAGATACATTATTTCTTTTTAATTTTATTCTATATCAGTTTACCAGCAAGCAATGGCCAGGGATAAGCTCTAGCCCAAACTGTGTTTCTCAGATTTAATTATTTTCTAGGGTGACATGGCATGAAAAACAAGAAGCAGCAATCAGATCCAGTTCTTTTTTTCCATGTTTCTTTGGTGACAACTGTCAAAACGAAAGACCAGGCCCTGCATCTAGGTTTCCTCATTGTCACATCACTGGGGAACATTCTTAAAATTTACTCTCTTTTTTGACCAGCCTCCTAACTATCAGTCTGTTCTCTTTGGTAGAGGCCATGTTGAGGGGTTGGTTGGATGGAGTATTTGCCACTTTTATTCTTACTCAGAATCTTATTGGCCCTATCAAAAAGGTATAATAATTGTATGCCATTTCAAATAAATGTTGTTATTCTAACCAAATACTATGTCATTTTAGGTAATATAAGTAAAAGGGAGAATTTTATAGTCTTCTAGCCAAAAATAAACTCATTATAGGCGTATCTTCATTGACTTTCATTGGATTGCTTTCTAGATGTTATCTTCTCAGAAATGCAGAAAATCACATCGTTACAAACAGCACTTCTTAATGTGCATTTTGTTTTCTAGGGGGTCTTGTCAAAATGGAGAGTCCAGTTCAGTAGGTCTGGAGCTCAGCCTTACACTTGCACTGCTAGATGACACAATACTGTGGGTTCTTGGATCACACTTTGAACAGCAAGGTCACAGAATGTGGTATCGAATATCAACTGCTTATTTAGCTATAAAATAGACAATAAGTCTGCCTTATTTGCTATTGCCCCAGCAGTCAGTAAAAGAAACTTTGTCACTTGATTGCTAGTACCTTGAAGGCAGAGACTCATATTTTATTTTATTAATTTACTTGTTTTTAATATTTTAAAGAATTTTAAATTAAGAACATGTCTAAAAGCAGAGTAAAAAGGACAATGAACATCTTGTAGCTAACAACTACTTTTAATAATTATTGAGCACACATTTCTAATTTAGTAATAATTCAAATTTAGGAATAATTATAGATTTATAAAACTACTACCAAGAGTTCCCACAGCCATGTTCCCTTCATGAAAGCATCTTAAATAACTATAATATACTCGTCAAAATCAAGAGAGCAATATTTTTAGTTGCACTATCAACTAAATTCTAGACCTTATTTAAATCTTACGATTTTTTCCTGTTTATTTATTTATTGTATGGTACTGGAGTTTGAACTCAGGGCTTTGAGCCATGCCTCTAGCCCTTTTTGCTCTGGTTATTTTGGAGATAGGGTTTTGCCAGCCTGGACTGTGATCCTCATATTTTACATTTGTCCATAGCTGGATACTCATCACCATATCCACTTTTTTTTTTTAAGTTGTAATCTTGTGAACGTTTTTGCCTGGGGCTGGCCTGGAACTGCAGTGCTTCCTATCTCAGCCTCCTAAGTAGCTAGGATTACAGGTGTGAGTCATCAGTGCCCAACTCTACCAATATTCTTTTTGCGTTCCAGAATTCAGTCTAGGATCCCACATCAAATTGCTTTCACCTCCTTAGTCTTCTCTGTGGTCTGGTCTATGACAGTTTCTCAGCAATCTCTTGTTTTTGTTTTTTTTTTTTTATGGGCCTTGACAGTTTTGAGGAATACTGGCCAAATTAGCAGCCTGCAGAACACCCTCCAATTTGAGTTTTTCTGCTGTTTTTCCTGATGACTAGACCTGGATTATATGGTTTTGGTAAAGACAGCACAGAAGTGAAATGCTCTTTTGGTTACGTTATATCAGGGCACATATTACCCACATGACACCAACGATTAAGGGAGCATCTGTAAAGTTTCTCCCCTGTGAAGACACTGTCTTCCTTTTTCCCTACTCTAGTCTTTGGAAGTAAGTCACTAAGTCTGTTCATTGTTTGAAGAAGAGAGAAAAAGGAAGAAGTAGCACATATTGGAACTCTGTGACAGAAGAGATTTGTCCTCTCTCCCATTTACTAATTTATTCAATCACTTATTTCACTATGGACTCATACATATTTTTTTCCTGTGGGTTATAACCCAATATTTTATTATTTTGTTCTTCAAATAGCGTCAGCTTTGGCTTCTAGATCATCTCATGCTTAGCCTCTTTGCCATTTAAAAAAAAATTTTAAATTTTGAGCACCTCCTTACTTTCTAGCACTGGAAGATGCTCCAGGCTCGTCACTGTTCCCCTCTCCCACCCTTGGAATCATCCATTTCTCCAGGAAGCTCTGGTTTCTGAGATTGCAGAATGACTTTTTAAAAGCTAAGGCCTAGGCCCAGGTGTTGCACAACCATTACCAAAATTTTCCAGTCTCAGGCACATTTCCAGGGAAGGTTAGTGAAATTAGGTTTTTTTTTTTTTTTTGTAACCTTTTGACTATTATTAAAGACTCCGCTTTAAATTATTTCTGAGATGCAGTCTCATATAGTGGAAAGTGTATGGCTTTGGAAATAAGTCAAGTCTAGGTCCAAACCCTTTGTTGGCTTCCTCATCTGTAACTTGAGATTAACAATGCTTATGGTGGCAAGACATTCTCAGTTGTCTAGCTAATTGCCTCATATTCAGTGTTCACACAACCCATTTTGGTCAGGTGTCAGGTAGACCTTGCCCAAATCGTGAAGCTGAGTAGTAACTGGTATGTGACAGAAGTTGGTGTTTTCACTTACTTTGATAGTGACTGGTTTAGGCAAAAATTCATGAGAATTTTGGTCAATGAGGTATCGGGAGAGTCTGCAAAAGATTCTCCTCACTGCTAAGAAGAGAAGCACACACACAGCCTACTTTTTAAAGCACCTCTGAGATGGTTGGTCAAGGATGTGACATATAGAATGCTCCTTGTCATCATATGGCAATGAGGGGGAAACTAACAAAATGGTAGAGCAGCCAGACTGAACCATAATTTCTTTTTTTGTTTGTTTTTTGAGACAGGGTCTTGCTCTATACCCTTAGCTGGCTTCAAACTTGAGATCCTCCTGCCTCTGCTTCCCACAATCTTCTGCTGGCATTATGGATGTGTACCACTACACCTGGCAACCATAAGATCTTTGAGTTACAGAATTGCTCAAATCTGGAGCCACTCTATCCCTAGGCTTTTCCTTATGTGACACTAAATAGTTTTGTTTAACCTAGTTTTAATTGGGTGTTCATTACTTGCATCTGAAAGCAAACTAAATTACCTATTTTGC